ACGCCCCCTGTCAAAGCGTCTGTCGCTCGCCCGCTCCCCAACGAGCGAGTCGTTCCAGAGTGAACGCAGAGAGGGCGGACTCGTGATCCCGGCCACTGCATCGGGGCACGCTGAAGACATTCGTGGCCAGCATCTGCAAGTCCGACCAAGCAGCCACCGACTTGTGCACCACCACACCCGAAGGCACCGAATGAGCGCGCGGGACCAAGCGGCCCGGGCACGCCTGGGGACGTAATGTCGGCTCGCGATTAAAAAACCGTGGGAGGCACGCGTTTAAAAACGCATTTCTCCTGCTAAGCGCGATGGCGCCCGCCGGATTGAAAATCAACGGGGGCGCCGGTAATTAGCGCCGACGCCCAGCCGCCAGCGGGAAGGCGACAGACAGCACTGACTGGGGGACTGGAGGGGGGCGGAAAGCAAAAACGGCAAAGCACGGACCGTGAGCCAGGGGGACACCTGTCCGAAATGAAGAAGAATTGCTGCCGGCGCTCACCCCCGCACTTTCCGTGCTCTTTTCTGTCAGACCGACGCGTTTCTTTTACCCTGGCCGCAGCCAGGGGGGGCGCCAGCTGCCACGCGGGCCTGCGAGCAAGGCGGGCTGGACGAAAGGTGGGCGTGGCCGACCGAAAATTTCCCCAGTTCACATCGCTGATTTTCCAAGCGCCCCCTGGCGCCGCAAGCGGCCATGCATCGAGGAGTGGCCCTTCGGCGGGGCGACCCAAACCAGCTGCTCGCAGCAGGTGTCGCCAACCCCCTTTTCCTTCCCCAGCTTGTCGTACGACCAGAACAAGGCGGGCAGTCCAACTCCCCCCGCTGTCGTGGTCTCTGTAGCCGGCGACGACGACGAAAATGAGGACGAAGACGAGGACGAGGACGAGGAAGACCGAAGACGAGGACGAAGAGGAGGACGACGGACTGCGGCCGGCAGACGGCGACGGCGGCGACGACGACGACGCACTGCACTGGTCGACGACGACGACGACGAAGACGACAGCGACGAAGCTGACGACGCTGACGACGACGACAACGACGACGACGACGACGACGACGATGACGACGACAAGGACGACGAAAAACACGACACCGACGACGGCGGCGACGACGACGCCTGAGGGGGAACAATTCGCCTAGGATGCGTACGACCCCCAGGATGCGTCTGGAGGCTGGCATTCAAGGGGGTACACGATCGCCTCGGCGGCGCCAGCGACGACCCCCTAGCGCGCGTGATTTAAAAAAAAGGTATCGCGCCTCGCGGGGTCTATTCATCAGCCCCGGGGGGGATAGCCATTTGCGAAATCACAACCTGACACTACCGGAGGGTAGGCACGCTCGCGGCGTGGACGCTCGCCAAGCACGGGCGGCCCTCCCCAGACCCCCCTGCCGGCGGCCGCGTGGTGGACAGGCTGCGGCGCGGCAGCCGCCCAGAGGGCTGCGCGGTCCGCTGGGTGGAACGCGGGGTGCACTCTCCGATTGGCCGCCACGCTGAAGCCGCAGACTCGGCACCGAAAGTCGAACGCGGCCATGCCGATGAAGCCACTCGGGATCCACCTGGTTGGCGAGCTACCCGCTGAGGTGCGCGTCCAAGTGGCGATGGAGGCCTTGAGCGTTGGCCCAACCCTGGTGCCTGGCCGGGTCAGCGCACGGGCAGCCAGCCACAGGGCAACGCCAGCGCGCCAGCGGCGGGGGCGGCGGCACGGCCAGCATCGCCTCGTCGAAGTCTAACCTGCGGACCCCCTGGCGCAGCTCGTCCACCTCCATCTCTGGCAGCTGGCCAGGTCCTCCCGGAGCGACCGAAGCCGCCCTGCCGCGGCTGGACCATCGTGAGCTCCACGACGGCCCACGGGGGGGGGCGGATGCGCCGCGCTCCCGGCTACGGCTCCGCTGCCGCGCCCGTCGCTCACCACCCAGCGGCGTGCCTGGCATTGGGGGGCCGTCCCCTGGGAACCCCAGCGTAAAATCGAAACCCTTGCCCCGCCAGGTGGCGGCAAGCGCCGCCGGTGCGGCGTCGCAGGCCATCAGCAAGCGAAAGGTGTGGCCCGTGCATCCGTTGAGTACGCAATCGAACCAAAATGCCAGCCTGCCAGCTGCAAACCGGGCTTCATGACGACGAAGGCCGTGGTCTCGCCGGGGACAGCCAGCCCGACGCATGCCCCCAGAAGAGCGCCACCAGCATCCAGCCGCCGAGCCGCAAGCCTGCCCTGAGATGCGCGCTCCGAGCCGCACGGGGCCGAGGCAGCTGGACAACGGCGGGCGCCGGGCTCCTCTCTGCCCAGCCGCGGTAGAGCGCCTCGTGTACGGAGCGCTCGTCCCACGAGATCTTGGCTGTCCCGTGCCGAAAGCCCGGCGATGCGGAGCGGAACCCGCGGTGCTCGAATATGGAGGTCTCGAGGTAGAAGTGTCGCCGGCCCGGCGCCTGCGTCCTCGGCCAGTCGGCCGGCCGGAAGCCGGCGCGCGCAAGCCGCAAGAACACACGCCTCTCCTCGGCCGCGAGGCGGCACTGGGAGTCGCCGAGCCCCTGGTGCGCCTTCGCGCCTGCGCGGAGGCCGTCCTGCGGGCTGGAGCGGGCACGACAATCCCCACGGCTGGCCGCGGGCCGCTGAGATGCAGCCGGCGATGACTCCCAAGCATCGCAGCAGCTGCCTCAAAGCGCCCATGATGGTGCGAGGAGTGCCGAGGAGGGGAAGGGGAGGAAGGGAGGAGGGGCGCAGGGGCGCGGCAGCTAGGACGATCGCAGGCGGGCTCTCAACCCACGCTTCCTCAGAGGTGGGTACCCCACCCCAGCAGAGGACGCAACGTCAATGAGAGTATTGGCAGTGCCATGCCAATTGCCAACCGCCGTCCGCCGGAGCAAGGCATGACTGATGAGGTCTCTGCATCCCGCCTGTCGCCACCCCCTCCCACTTTCCGCACCCAAATAGCATCCAGCATCTTGGCTCCAGGAAGTGAGCCGCTGACTCGCGCAACTCGGCCAGCTCTGAACAGCCCCAGCACGGCGTTCCTTGCCAAAGCGGCTCTGCCCAAGGGCAGCCCCCACCCTATGTGCGCCCCGTCGTTTGCGGGGCCGGGGGCCGTAAGATGGCCCAAGACGGCCGAAAAGGCTTCCAAGAGGGCCTCCAGGAAGGGCAGAAAAAGGCCAAAATCGATGATTTCCCATGAGATTTTGAAGGATTGTGGCATTTGTTTTTTGCTCGGCCTTCCGACAGCCCGAGCCAAGTGCCCCCAAAGATCGCCCAAGAGGCCTCCAAGACCCAAGCGCGAGCGACCTGCGGGCAACGACGGCCCGGGAGCGCAGCACCGCGAGGTGAAGCCTCGCACCAGGGTCGAGCCGTCGCACGCCCTCGCGGCAGCGGCCCCGCCGCCGCCACCACCGCTGCACGGGCCGTCCGTGGGACTGGCCGCGGCTCCTTCCTGACTGCCATGCGTGAGTTCCGCCGGGCTTCTCGCCAGCGGCCCCGCGCCTGAGCGGCCAGCCGGCGGCCCGGCGGCCCCAGAATACCCGGGTCCTGCCTTCATGCCGATGCCGGAGACGGGCAGGTGGACGTGCCAACGCGAGGTGCCGCTGATTCAGTACGGGAGCCGTTCAGGGGGCGGCACGAAATTGTCGAAAGGGGGCGGCAAAGGCAAGGGGGAGGACCAGGGCAAACGAAAAAGACAGAGATACTGGCAAACTTCCACCCCGCTTACATAAAATGCATCGCAGCCCGCCGGAAACCCTGGCCACCTGCGGTGCATGAGTGCCATCCTCGTTATCGGTGTGATCGGCGTCGTCGGCTTCGCCTTTGGACAGCCCTGCAGGCGCTCCATTTCTCAAGACTGAGCCAGGGATCGACCGGCAGTCTAGGATTGGACGCCTGCGCCGAGCCTCGGGAGAAAGCGACGTGCCACGCCTACCCCTCAGGCGGGGGGACGCCTTCTGCGGAGAGCAGGAAGGGTGCGCGGCGAGCCCTGTGGGCTCCCTGGGGGCATGCGGCCGGGCAGTGGAGTGACCCGCGTCAGGCCCGACAAGCCAGGCCAGCGCCCCTGGCAGGACGCCAAGTGCATGCAGTGGACGCCAGGGGGCCGCAGGAAGCGCCCGTTTCAAACCCTGGTCCGCGACGTCATTTTGGAACAACGCGCCACTGCATCGCAAAATGCCAGCGCGTCACGTGGGGCGAGCGCGGCGAGACCGGAGGGACCCGATGGGATCTCGAGACCCCGAGAAGGCATCCCAAGTCAGGCCCAACAGCCAGACATGCCTCCGTGATGGCACGTCGAGTGTATCAGAATAGCCCCCCGCACGCGTTGAGAACGCACCCCGCGTCTTGCCCTCCCGTCTGCTTGCATACCTCCCGCAGATCAGACAGAGTGGACCTCTGCCCCCGCAGGCTCGCATCCCTACGGGACGCCACCCCCTAGGAGCTCAGATCTAGGGATCGCTGAGAGGGGCTCTGGGGTGAGGAGGGAAAGTAAGGGCGTCCAACAATCGGACAAATAGCACATCTGCCTATAGAGGCGGAGGGGGGTCTGGGCCCTGCGCCATTGCTTGCCTTGCCACGCCCGTGGGCCCGTACCCTCCCCAGCATTGGGTCATGATTTGGGCCCCCGCATGTCCTTGGCCCAGCCCAGGAGTTTTGCCAATGGAAACCCTCACATGAGCCCAACAGAGAGTCCGTGCTTATCATCCTCTCCTCTCCACCTCCTCCTGCCATCCTCCTCCTCCTCATCATCCTCCTGCCTCCTTCCTCCTTCCTCCGTCCTCCTTCCTCCGTCCTCCTTCCTCTTTCCTCTTTGTTCCTTCATCCTTCCTCCTTCCTCCTTCCTGCCTCCTTCCACCTTCCTCCTTCCTCCTTCATCCGTCCTCCTCTCCCTCCTCCTTCTCCTCCTCCTTCTTCCTCCCTCCTCCTCCTCATGTTCCCTCCTCCTCCTCCTCCTCCTCTTCCTCCTCCTGCTCTGTCTCCCTTACGTCCTTCCTTCATTCTTTCCGACCCTCCCTCAAGACAAACCCGACCAGACGAGCCCGCCTCGGCGGAGCGCTCGCCGACCAGCGACCGCACACGGCCTCTCCAGAAGAGGCGATCGGCGACGGCGACGGCGACGGCCACTGCGACGGCGACTGCGACGGCGACTGCGACGGCGACGGCGAACGCGATAGCGACGACGCCGACGCCGACACAAACACCAACGCCGACGCCGACGCCGACGACGACGACGACGACGACGACGACGACGACGACGACGACGACGACGACGGCGGCGGCGGCGGCGGCGGCGACGGCGATCGCGACCGCGATGGCGACGACACCGACGCCGACGCCTACACTAAAGCAGACGTCGATGACGACGACGACAATGACGACGACGGTGGCGGCGACGGCGACGGCGACGGCGACGGCGCCGAGGCCAACGACGCCGACGACGAATGACGGCGGGGGGGGCGACGACAACGACGGAGGCGGCGACGACCAGGACGAGAGCGAGGGCTAAGAGTGGAAGAGGAAATGAGAGAAGAAGAGGAGAAAGAGGAGGGAAATAATGGGGATGGCGATGGGGAGGAAGAGGAGGAAAACATGTCACTCCACATCGAGGGGTACGGTTTCAAGAAGCCACCCAAGAGGCCCTCAGAGGCCTCAAAGAGGCCCCCAGGAAGACCCAAGGGGCCCTCAGGAGGCTCCCAAGAGATCCCCAAGAGGCTCTGGAATACCCAAGAGGCCCCCCCTCCTCGTCCACCTGTTCCATCTCCCTGTCCTCCTCGCATACAGGGTCGGCGGCACCTGCCGTAAGGCCGTCACAATAATGGGGAGGGCTATAAGGGAGGAAGAGGAGGAAGACAGTTCACTCCACATCGAGGGGACGTTTGCATATGAATGAGCTCAGTGTGTAGTTTAACCCACTTGTGGCATAACCATTGCTGCAGCGCCCAGGGGCTCTGTCCTTCCTTTGAGCGCATGCCTGTACATATTCAAGCACTTTGCGATCGCACGTACTTGACACACACACACACACACATTCTGCATATTTCACCTGATGCCATCAGTTAGAGACGCCAGGAATACAAAAGAGGCAGGTCCTGCCTCACAAATGCACCGAGCCGCATCGCCCCTGCATCGGCGATGCGGCGCGCTCCTCTGACCCGGGTTCGTATCGCGACAACGTCGATGTTGGTTTCGGACACCGCATGGATCATTCAAACTTGAACGACCAGACACTTTCCGATTGCCACATCGTTCAATATTGGCCGATGCTGGGACACTGGCGGCGTTCAACCTGGAACGCACGCGCCTGGATCGCCGCCGCTTCGACACAACACGAACCTTCCGCACTGTGGCCCCATTTTGAGGGGCAGCGATAGGAGCGACCGGTTCAGGAGAGGAAGCACCGAGCTGGAATGGGCGATGCATCGCCGACAGAGATCCGTGCCGCGCCCCGACGAGGGCTCATCAAGCCTTTGGCGCAACGCGGCGGCCCCTGCGCCCAAACAGCGCCGATCGCAACCACGCCCAGCGTAACCACACCCATTGTAGTCGCCGAATCTGGGCGGCCTGGATCCTCCCCGGCGCGCGAGGGGGGGGCGGGGCCAGCACGGCAGCCGACACGAGCACGCAGGCGCCCAGCAGCAGCGCGCCCAGCCGCCGCAGCTGCCGCTGCCTCGGGGCTCGGGCGCGCCGCCGACACCCGTCGATCGTGGATCGATCGGCGACGACGACGACGACGACGACGACGACGACGACGACGACCCGACGACGCTGGCCCCGACAACGACGACGACCACGACGGCCACGACAACGACCACGACAACGACGACGACGACGACGATCAAAGATGACGACGAAGACGTCATCCCCGCCCTCCTCGCTTTGCTAACCAACAAATGTCATCCAGCGCGGACCCTGAAACAGTGTGCTTCTAGCGACGTACGTTGTGCAACGTATGTGGTGTGCAGTATGCGTTCTGTGCAATCCGTGATTTGTGCAGTCCATGTGGTGTACCCGATGGGGTGCGATCGATGTTCTGCCATTGATGTTTCATGCAATAGCAGCGTTGTGCACTAAACGTGGCGCAATATATGTGGGACAAACTCTGTGGTGCAGTGTATGCAATACGCGTTGTGAAATCCAGGTGGTGCAAGATACCCGCCATTGTGCCACGAGGCACGCAGTGGAATTACCCCCAGGCTCGCACGTGTCCTCTCTTCTCTGCACTCAGGACTCTGGGATTCTGGCATTCGAAAGGCTGGGGGGCCACATTCTCAAATTCCCTGGGCTGTCCCGCGTTTTCCTGGGCTGCCTCGCATGACTGTTCCAGAAGCCAGAGGGCCCCAAGACGGGCCAAGAGGGCCCCAGAAACCGCCCAAGAGTGCCCAAGAGACCTCCAAGACATCCCAAGAGCGCTCCAAGTCGCCCAATTTTGCCACAAGACGGCCCAAAAGGCGCCAAAGGAGCCCAAAGAGCGCTCCAGGAGGACCCCCAAGAGGACCCAAAGAGGCAAACATCACTGATGTTCCTTGTGTTCTCTCCATGAGTTTCGCGTTCTCGCGTTTTCGGGCTTCCGACGCTCCAAGATGGCCCCACAGGCCCCCACGACCGCCCCAAGGCTGCCCAAGAGGCACCCCAGAGGGCCCCACGACGATCCCAGGGGGCCCCAAAACGGCCCAAGAGGCGCCCAAGATCGCCAAAGAGTGCCCTAAGACGGCCCCAAGAGGGGCGGCCCCAAGAGGGGAAACACAAATCAACAATTCGAGCCTTCCGCCAGACCACCAGGAGGCCTCCACAGAACCCCAAGAGAGCTCAAGAGGCCTCTTAGAGACCCCCAGGAGGCACCCCAAAGACCCCCGAGAGCCCAAGAGGCCCCCTAGAGGCCCCTAGAGGCCCCCAAGAGGCCACAAGACGCTCCAAAGAGGCCTCCAAGAGGCTTCAAAACTGCCTCCAAGAGGCACCCGAGAGGCCTCCCACGATATCCAAACGAACATCCGAGAGGCCTCTAACACACCACTCAGGCACGGTGGCGGGGTGGGCCGAAAGCCACTATGTATCCGCCGCCCCCTGTCGATTCATCGCAGGGGTGCCTGGCGTGCTAGACCCTCTCGGTTATGGTTTTGGCTCTGTTGTCCATAAGAACTCCCCCTGAGGCTTCGGCCCGTCCCGCCGGGGTCCCGGGAGGGACCTCAATTGCACAAGGTGTCCTCCAAGACAGCTCAAGATGGCGCCAAGATGGCCACGTTGGCCCAAGATTGCCTCCAAGATGGTCCAAGATGGCCTCCAAGTTCGCCCAAGATGGTCCAAGACGGCCTCCAAGACGGCCCAAGAGAATCCAAGACGGCCAGGAGGCCCCCCAGAGGTCTCCAAGACGGCCCAAGAGGCCGCCTAAGAGGTCCTCCAGGAGGGTTCTTCTCGGCTTTCCGACGACCCAAGACGGCCCAAGAGGCCCCCAAAATCTCCCCCACAGCGCCCAAGAGGCCTCCAAGATGGCCTCCGGACTGCCCGAGAGGCCCCCTAGACGGCCCCAAGAGGGCACAACGACGACCCAAGAGGCCTCCAAGACGCCCAAGATGGCCTCTAAGACGGCCCTGGAGCACCCTAAAAGGGCCCCAAGTCGGCCCAGAAAGGCCCCCCAAACGGCTTCCGACGGCGACAGACGGGCCAGGAGCCCACCAAGATGGCCGAAGTTGGCTCGACGCTGGCCCAAGACGGCCCAAGAGGCCTCCAAGAGAACCTCCAGGAAAGCCAGACAAGGACAAAAACACGGATGTTCCTTAGGTGTTTGAAGGCTTTTGACAATTGCTTCGTTTCGGCCTTCCGACGGCCCGATACGGCCCAACAGCCCCCAAAGATCGCCCAAAGATCGCCCAAGAGGCCTCCAAGATGGCCCCAGAACGGCCCAAGAGGCCCCCAAGACGGCTCCAAGAGGCCCCCAAGACGGCCCAGGAGGCTTTTAAGACGCCCAAGATGGCCTCCAAGACGGCCCTGGAGCATTCCAAGAGGGCCCCAAGTCGGCTCAGAGAGGCCCCCAAAACGGCTTCCGACGGCGTCGAACGGGCCAGGGGCTCACCAAGATGGCCGAAGAAGGCACTAAGATGGCCCAAGACGGCCCAAGAGGCCTCCAAGAGGGCCTCAAGGAAGGCCCGACAAGGCCGAAATCATTGATTTCCAATGAGTGTTTGAAGGAGTTTGGCACTTGCTTTTTGTTCGGCCTTCCGACGGCCCGAGACAGCCCCAAGTGCCCCCAAAGATCGCCCAAGAGGCCCAAGACGGCCCCAAGAGGCCCTTAAGACGGCCCAGGAGGCTGTTAAGACGCTCAAGATAGCCTCCAAGACGGCCCAAGAGCCCTCCAGGACATCCTCCAAGAAGGCCCGAAAGGGTCAAAATGGCCTCCAGGCGGCCAAGATGACCTTCAAGATGCCCACGTGTTCCCCGAAGGCTTTCCAAACCGATTCGAGGAACACATGGTCCGATAGATTGGCAGGTCTGGCTCAACGTTGGGCCACATAGTCGTTTCCTAAAAGGCAGGGGGCGGCGGTGATTCGCAGTAGGCGTCTTCGATCTATAATGGATACACATATATATATTCATATTTATTTATACACAAATACATATGTCGATAGGGGCATACGCATATGCATCTGCATCTGCATCTACAAGTACATAGGCATAGACTTGCATACCGCTGTACAAACATATACATGTGCATATAATTTTGCATACACCTATACATAGTTGTCTATATATATACACAAGTATAACTCTAGATTGACATATACAACCACGAACACATATGCATACACATGTCCATGTACAAGTAGGTATACGTATACCTGAACATATACATATACATATACGTATGTAAAAGTATTCTCATATACATATACATGAACATACCCACGTACATATACAGCCACCTACACATATACATGTACAGTCATATGTGTTTGTACGATACACAGATGTATCTCTATATGAAAGGGCCTTTACACACATACACATACACATACACGCACATGAACATACGTATATATCGATACGTGGATGTACACATGCCCATGGACGTATACAATCACCTATACATATACGAATACATACACACACAAAGATACATATGCATAAACGTACACATATAAAAATACATACGTATACACATGTACATGTACATAACCGTATACACATACATGAACGTATACATCGACATATACATATACATGTACACATGTATATACATAACATATACATGTACAGTTGCAGAAACATGTACATATACATGTGCATATACATGTACATACTCATGAACATACACAAATACAGGCGCAATGACATATACATATACACATACATATACACATACATACGCGTACGCCACTATGTACAGACATACGCGCCTTCTTACACATACACATACAATGCATGAGCACATACGCACCTTCTCATACATACATAAACACATAACCATGTATTTGCATATGGATATGCATGTGCATCTGCCTGTGCACATGTCTGCACACACTTACATATACATATACACATGTCTGTACACTTACATGTTGTATATATACACATACATGTTTTTTCAACTGCGTATACAGATACGTCGACACATGCATTGGCATATACACACACGTATTCCTATACGTAGTCCAACACATCGACAGACCCAAACACATGCACAGAAACAAACGCATAAACATAGATATAAACATGTAAATATACATAATGTGAATACGGATACATACATTAATGCATGTGCTTATACATGTACATGTACATGCACATTTACAGACACTACTACGTATACACATGCAAAACATGCACGTACAACCATACATAAATACATGGCTGCAGGCAGGCATACCTACATACACGATTACGCACATTTGCATATACGGTTGCATATACATATGCATGTCCATGTACATGTATGTAAACATACACACATATACATATACACATACAGATGCATACATTTATACATATACATACATAAATGATAACAATCTGGATACACATGGAGATTTATAGATGCTAATAATGCTTTCCAGACTTATGTATGCGTGTATACAAATATTGCAACATATGTTGTGCAATCTACGTATTGCATTATACGTTGTGCAACTTATGGGGTGCAATCGATGTGGTACAATCGGCGTGGTGCAACGTACGTGGTGCAATTTACTTGCCGAACTTGGAGTTGACAACTCCGCTGCTCGCGCAATCATCCTACCCTCCCACCCGCAATGTGGTTTGCAGAACCCACGCGGAAGCCAGTGCGATGAGTGCTGGGTGATGGCTGGTGCATCCCTGTGGCCGCGCTAGCCCGCGCATGCTCGCGCGCGCACCGGCTAGCTAGTTTGGCGCGACCGACGCGAGAGCGGTGGCGCTGACCGCTCGGCACATCCCAGTGGGCACTTCAGTGCGAGTCGGCGTCTTGGGAGAGCGCGGTATCATGGCAACGTCGACAATGGTAGACACGATGATGATCGTAGCAATGCTGGCGACGATGCTTACAACGACGACAGGGCAGCCAGTGACGGCCACGATGCTGCTCACGCCGACGACGATGACGGCGTCTTCGCGTCGGTGATGAAGGTTTTGGAAGGAGTTCGACATGGGCGCGCGGCAGACGCGCGAGAGTGGCCCGCCTTGTATTTTTGACACAGATCGTGCCCCCACAGCACGCGCGCAAGGGCGTTCGAACGATGTCGACATGCGCGCGCGAAGCCCGTTTGGTAGCACTTTATGAAAATGTTGAAAAACCGACGGTTCTTAAGAATTCGCAAGAGCGCGCGCGCAAATTGTGTTTGGAAGTCCGTATCGCGAAATCCTGTTGCAAAATGTTCTTGGACACGAAACCGAAGGTTGTTTCGGATTTTGGCATGCGCGCGCGCGACGACGCGCGCGTGCACTTCGTCTAGTTGTTTTTTTGTTTGCAAGGGACTTGAAGACTGATGACTCATGATAAACGAGTGCGCGCGCATAGTATATTTTGCGGAGGATGGCTGGGGGGCGATACCTGGTGGGCTCGGATGGTACGAGTTCATATTTAGGATGGACGATGGGGCAGAATAATAAATAAATTGCAATGCGAAAAAGGGTCGCGAATCCCGGGGGGGAGGGGGGAGGGTCGATTTTCTCTGTGTAGGTCAAAGAATATATGTTTCATGCGGCGCCGAGGCGGCAACGGAGCGGCGACAGCGGCAACGCACCCGCGAGACCAGCAGACAGGCCCAGACGACGGGCGGCGTCGAGACGGCGACGGGGCGGCGACGGCGGCAACACAGCCGCAAGACCGGCAGATAGGAGCAGACGACGAGCGGTGTCGAGACGGCGACGGGGAAGCGACGGCGGCAACACCGCCGCCAGACCGGCAGATAGGCCCAGACGTCGGGTGGCGTCGAGACGGCGACGGGGAGGCGACGACTGGCAACATAGCTGCCAGAACAGCAGACAGGCCCAGACGACGGGTGGCGACGAGGCGGCGACGGGGAGGCGACGCCTGGCAACATAACCGGCAGATAGGCCCAGAAGACGGGTGGCGTCGAGACGGCGACGGGTAGGCCAGGTCGACAACATAGCCGCCAGGTTGGCAGACAGGCCCAGACGACGGGCGGCGACGAGGCGGCGACGGGTAGGCGACGACTGGCAACATAGCCGCCAGACCACCAGAGAGGATAAGTAAGAACACATATAAGTGCAAGGACAGTTTGGAAAACGTCGGCGCGCCCGAAAGGAACGTGGGATAAATGGGCACGATGTCCACCACAAGTGTCCCACACCCACAGCGGCCGCTGCTAGGCAGGATATTCGTTACATCGAACTGTCAACGCCCGCGGCGGCACCCACAAGATGCAAAACTGTTGTCGGTGTGTGTTCACCAAGCATGCCGTGCCCGCTTCGAACAGCGGAAACCTACCTTTGCCTGGCCAAAGCCAAAGAGGCACGGGCTCGCTCGTTGGCCCGCTGGCACGGCGCGCTGAGCGAGCCAGCTCACGCAATTGCTTATTTTCCTAACTTCTCCTGGCGCCAGAGGCGACCGTGCGTCAAGGAATGGGCCCCTCGGCGGAGCCTCCTTCTCCTCCTCCTCCTTTTCCACTCTACTTTCTCCCCCTCCTTGTCGTTCATGCCGCTTGCCATCATCCGCGGCGCGGTGGCTCCCCGAGATCTCTGAGCCCTGGCGCATTTGATTACAAAATATGTCGCGCACTGCGGGGTCTAGATCACAAACTGACATTACCGAGCAGTGGAGAATGTGATAAGTGGGGAAGCACAAAAACAAACAACTATAAGCCTCATCCTCCTCCTCCTCTTCCTCTTCCTCCTCCTCATCCTCCTCATCCTCCTCCTAATCCTCCCCCCATCCCCTTTCCTCCTCCTTGTCCTCCTCCACTCCGCTTCCTTACAAATTAATGTTCCCTGTCGCACCCCGATGCCAGTTTTAGGGCGGGCCCGGCGTTTCGCTTGAGACTTGCTCGCCATAAATGACTCCGATGCTTAAAACATGGCAACAACTTCACGAATGGGGGGCGGGTTCTTATCAACATGTGGCTCTCGCCTGAGCGCCGTGCACATTCGCTTACAACATTGCAAGCGTTTCATGTATTGAGAGCGGGTAGTTTTCACAATGTGGATCTCGCCGTAGCGCCGCGCACATTCGTTTTAAACAATTACAAAAGCTTCACGGATTGAGGGCAGGTGGTTTTCAACATGCTGTTCTCGCCTTAGCACCGCGCACATTCGTTCTTAAAATTTGCAAGAGAATCACGGATTGAGGGTTGTTCCTTTTGAAAATGTGGTTCTCGCCTGGGCGCCGCGCACAACCGTTTTAACATGTACAAGGGCTTCACGGATTCCCATGATAAACGTAACAGACATGGTGTTTGGAAAGATTCTGGATTATGTGGGTGCAACAAGTTATTGATTCGCGGTGAAGTCCCAAAAATGGCGTTCTGGCACGATTCCGGATCGTCAGGACGCAGCTGTCAGGTTGATCCATGGCTTGACAATCCCGAAAAAGATATTGCGGGATGCTTCAAGGGCTTCAAACGGTTGTCCTCCAACGAGGCACTTCCCTCAATGGATATGAACCGCTGTAGGGGCTGATCAAGAGGGAGCTTGGAGGGCGGGCGGGTTAATTCCAACATCGTTGATGACTCTTGGATTTACAAACACTGGTCCTCTCCTCCTCCTCCTCCTCCTCCTCCTCCTCCTCCTCCTCCTCCTCCTCCTCCTCCTCCTCCCCTCCCTTCCTCCTCTTCCTCTACCTCCTCCTCCACCCCTTCCACCTCTTCCTCCTCCTCCTCCTCTTCCTCCTCCTCCTCATCATCATCATCCTCGTCGTCGTCCTCCTCCTCCTCCGCCTCCTCCGCCTCCTCCTCCACCTCCTCCTCCTGTCGCTTCCTTACAAGAACTTCTCGCTGTCGCACCCCGAGGCCAATTTTAGGCCGGGACGGGCGTTTCGCCTCAGACTTCCTCACCAGTTTTGACCCGGAAACTTAAAACATGGCAAAAGTTTCACACATGGAGGGCGGGTGGTTTTCAAAATATGGCTCTCGCCTGAGCGCTGCGCACATTCGATTTTAAACATTTACAAGAGCTTCACGGATTGAGGGCGGGTGGTTTTCAAGATGTGGCTCTCGCCTCAGCGCCGCGCAAATTCGTTTTAAGGTCTGCCAGACCATCACGGATTGAGGGCGGGTCGTTTTCAAATGTGGCTCTCGCCGTAGCGCAGCGCACATTCGATTCAAAATTTGCAAGAGCGTCACGGATTGAGGGCGGGTCGTTTTCAAAATGTGGCTCTCGCCGTAGCGCCGCGCACGTTCGTTTCAAAATCTACACGAGCTTCACGGGTTGAGGGCGAGTGGATTTCAAAATGTGGCTCTCGCCGTGTCGCCGCGCACATTCGATTTTAAACATTTACAAGAGCTTCACGTATTGAGGGCGGGTGGTTTTCAAGATGTGGCTCTCGCCTTAGCGCCGCGCAAATTCTTCTTAAGGTCTGCCTGACCATCACGGATTGAGGGCGGGTCGTTTTCAAAATGTGGCTCTCGCCGTAGCGCAGCGCACATTCGATTCAAAATTTGCAAGAGCGTCACGGATTGAGGGCGGGTCGTTTTCAAAATGTGGCTCTCGCCGTAGCGCCGCGCACATTCGTTTCAAATCTACAAGAGCTTCACGGGTTGAGTGCGAGTGGTTTTCAAAATGTGGCTCTCGCCGTAGCGCCGTGCACATTCGCTTTAAGAACTTACAAGAGCTTTACGGATTGATGGCGAGTGGTTTTCAAAATGTGGCTCTCGCCTCAGCGCCGCTCAAATTCGTTCTAAACTTTGAAAGGGCTTCACGGATTCCCATGATAAGCGTACCAGAAGTGTTTTCTTGTTTTGGAAGGATTCAGGATTATGCGGGTGCAACAGCAATTATGTTGATTCGCGGCGCGGACGTCCCATGAATTGCTTTCTGGCACGATTCCGGATCGTCAGGACGCAGCAGTCAGGTGGCAGTCAAGATCCCGAGAACAATGTTGTGGCATGCTTCAAGGTCTTCAAACGGTTGTCTTCCAACGAGGGAGTTCCCTCAATGGAAATGAATCGTTATAGTTGCCTATGGAGAGGGGGCTCGGAGAGGTTAATTCCAACATCGCTGATGACTGCTGGGATTACACTGGTCCTCCTCAACCTCCTCCACATCCTTCTGCACCTCCTCCTCATCCTCACCGTCATCCTCATCAGTATCCTCCTCCCCCTCCTTCTCTTGCTCCTCCTCCTCCTCCTCCTCCTCTTCGTCCTCATCCTCATCCTCGTCCTCATCCTGATCCTGGTCCTAATCCTGATACTCGTCCGCATCATCATCATCATCATCATCATCATCATCATCATCATCATCATCACCATCATCATGATCATCATCATCATCAGTAGCAGCAGCATCAGCATGAGCATCAGCATCAGCATCATCATCATCAGCATCATCATCAGCATCATAATCAGCATCAGCATCAGCAGCAGCAGCATCATCATCACCATCCTCAACATCATCATCATCATCATCATCATCATCATCATCATCATCATCAGCATCATCATCCTCCTCCTCATCCTCAGCATCATCATCAGCAGCAGCATCATCATCATTATCATCATCATATTCCTCCTCCTCGTCCTCGTCCTCCCCCTCCTCCTCCTCCTCGATCTCCTCCTCCTCCTCCTCCTCCTCCTCCTCAACGTTCTCCTCCTCATCCTCCTCCTCCTCCTCCTCCTCATCCTCATCCTCACCCTCATCATCGTCCTCCTCCTCCTCCTGCTCCTCCTCCTCCTCCTCTGGTGCCGCGCACGCGCAGACTCCGCGGCATGCACCCTCGAGACTATCCAAGCCGTGGACGGGCCCCGCCCGTCCCCCAGAGAGTCGGGCCGCCCCGCCTCAGCCGACGAGGGTCCCCCGTCTCGTGCGCGAAGCGGATGCTGGTACTGCGGGGGCAGCGGTTGGGCGGCAATCGGCACGAATGGAATGGGTACGGAAAGAATGGGTACGATGCCCAACAGCAGTCCCTGTTCATTTTGAGCAGGACTCGCTGTCCGCGCCGCCGCGGCCTGTCCATTTGAGACACAAGGCCGCTTGCCCAACAGCGGCCGCTGTTGGTTTGGGACAACATTTGTTGTTGGGCATTGTATAAAGTCTTTCTGTACCCAATTCGGGCGTCTAAAGGCAAGATCAGTCGGCATCGAATCGGGAAACTTGGTCGGATCGAGCTATGCACCAGGTCGGGCTGCACCGGCACAGGGTCGAAGCCGAAGCGGATCGGGTGTGTTTGGATGTTTGAGGGTAAGATGCCCAACAACAAGTGTCGTCCAAAACTGACAGCTGCTGCCGTCGGGCAGGTGACTTACTGCTTAAAGGCGGACAACATCCGCGGCGACACCAGCAACGATGTTCTGATCCAAAGTGGACAGGGACTGCACTCGGTCTCCGCACCCATTCTTTCCCCACCCACTTCGATCGTACCGCATGTACAGCTGGCGCCCTCCTACAGTCACGCCGCATGGTGACGATGCGCGGCAAGGGACGCAAGGGCCCCGGGGGGCCATGTTGGCGCTTCCGAGAGGGGCTGGCCAGCGAAAGCCGCCAAGGATGGACCGAAAGGGCAAGGATGGAATGGTAGCCTCCCGCGCATGGGCACCGTCCCGTTTGCTGCGGGGTCCACCTCGAATACGTCCTCCTCTTCCTCCTCCTCCTCCTCCTCCTCCTCCTCCTCCTCCTCCTCCTCCTCCTCCTCCTCCTCTTCCTCCTCCCCCCCCTCTTCCCCCTCCAACTCCTCCTCCTCCTCCTCCTCTCCTCCTCCTCCAACTGCTCCCACTCCTCATCCGCACATGTTCCCCTTCCTCTCTTCCTCCTCCTCCTCCTCCTCCTCCTCCTCCTCCTCCTCCTCATCCTCCCCCTCCTCCTCCTCCTCCTCCTCCGCGTGCTAATGGTTCGCAGGGCTCCTGTTGGCTAAACGAGGGGAAGACGCACGGAGCGCTTGCAAAGAGGCCTTTCGATCTCCGAAGAGCATGTCCCCGGAGCCCTCTGGACTTATGCCACCGGGGTGCTTCTCAACCCCAGAATGAGAAGCGTCAAACCGACTGCGCAGGAGCGCACTCGTCATACCAAGAAGCCATGCAATGTTTCCCAGCTCTTCCATGATTGCGTTTTGAAGTCAGACTACCTTGTCGTATTCGCGCGGGGTCTATACCTCCACAGGGCAGCGCCCGGATGCCGCTGTGTGGGGGCGGGCATTCTCCAATCTTGCACACTGTACAAATGTTCTCCTGTCTCGTGCAAGCTTGCCATAGTTTTCCGATCCGTCTGCGCACTTTCGCCTCAGTTTCCTCAAGTGCGTTGCTCCTTGTTCTTCTCTTCCAACTGCCAAATGTTACTTAAGACCGGGTTTTCTCAGCAAAGAAAGGCCCACTGGGTATTCAGATTAGAATACCCTGATCTGCTGTCTGTAGCGGAGGCTAAACAACAAATGAACCCAAGACTGCACAAACAGAGCCAACACTCAGCGACAAACCGCGGCCGCAGCTGTGGATTCCCTACAGCATATCGTGCGTTCCTCTTGTGCGTTCCTCGTGTATCGTGATAGCATGGCTCCCTTGTGTCGTCCCTCAGCTTCGAAGCGAATCCAGCCGCAGCGACCAGGGCCTCCGAGGAGGCCCCAACAAATTATCCTGGCGAAGGACCCAACCATGTGCAGTTGTGAATATCGCATTGCGGGTGCCGCTTTCGGTGGAGCTCCCTGTGGGGCCACGAAACGCTGTGCTGGGTGGGGGTGACGCATGCGGGCGGCACCACTGGGGCCTTCGGTGGAGGTCCCTGTGGGGCCACGAAACGCTGTACTGGGCGGGGGTGACGCATGCGGGCGGCACCACTGGGGCCGTCGGTGGAGCTCCCTGTGGGGCCACGAAACGCTGTGCTGGGTGGGGGTGGCGCATGCGGGCGGCACCACTGGGGCCTTCGGTGGAGCTCCCTGTGGGGCCACGAAATGCTGTGCTGGGGTGGGGGTGACGCATGCGGGCGGCACCACTGGGGCCTTCGGTGGAGGTCCCTGTGGGGCCACGAAACGCTGTGTTTGGTGGAGGTGCCGAAATGGGTGTGCGGGACGCATGCGAGCGGTGGCACTGGGGCCTTCGGTGGAGCTCCCTATGGGGCCACGAAACGTGTGAGGGGTGTGCTGAATTGGGTGTGGCTGACGCATGCGGGCTGGGGCCACGAAACGTGTGAGGGGTGTGCCGAATTGGATGTGGCTGACGCATGCGGGCGGCGGCACTGCGGCCTTCGGTGGAGCTCCCTATGGGGCCACGAAAGCGTGTGAGGGGTGTGCCGAATTGGGTGTGGCTGACGCATGCGGGCGGCAGCACTGGGGCCTTCGGTGGAGCTCCCTATGGGGCCACGAAACGTGTGAGGGGTGTGCCGAATTGGGTGTGGCTGACGCATGCGGGCGGCGGCCACTGGGGCCTTCGGTGGAGCTCCCTATGGGGCCACGAAACGTGTGAGGGGTGTGCCGAACTGGGTGTGGCTGACGCATGCGGGCGGCGGCACTGGTGCCTTCGGTGGAGCTCCCTATGGGGCCACGAAACGTGTGAGGGGTGTGCCGAATTGGGTGTGGCTGGCGCATGCGGGCGGCGCACTGGGGCCTTCGGTGGAGCTCCCTATGGGGCCACGAAACGTGTGAGGGTGTGTCGAATTGGGTGTGGCTGACGCATGCGGGCGGCGGCACTGGGCCTTCGGTGGAGCTCCCTATGGGGCCACGAAACGTGTGAGGGGTGTGCCGAACTTGGGTGTGGCTGACGCATGCGGGCGGCAGCACTGGGGCCTTCGGTGGAGCTCCCTATGGGGCCACGAAACGTGTGAGGGGTGTGCCGAATTGGGTGTGGCTGACGCATGCGGGCGGCAGCACTGGGGCCTTCGGTGGAGCTCCCTATGGGGCCACGAAACGTGTGAGGGGTGTGCCGAATTGGGTGTGGCTGACGCATGCGGGCGGCGGCACTGGGGCCTTCGGTGGAGCTCCCTATGGGGCCACGAAACGTGTGAGGGGTGTGTCGAATTGGGTGTGGGGACGCATGCGGGCGGCAGCACTGGGGCCTTCGGTGGAGCTCCCTATGGGGCCACGAAACGTGTGAGGGGTGTGCCGAATTGGGTGTGGCTGACGCATGCGGGGCGGCACTGGGGCTTCGGTGGAGCTCCCTATGGGGCCACGAACGTGTGAGGGGTGTGCCGAACTGGGTGTGGCTGACGCATGCGGGCGGCAGCACTGGGGCCTTCGGTGGAGCTCCCTATGGGGCCACGAAACGTGTGAGAGGAGATAGTGGTGATGACTGCGATGATGATGACGATGATGGTGATGAGGACGGTCGCGAGGATTATGACGAAGACGATGATGACGGTGATGATGACGACGACGACGACAACGATGATGATGATGACGATGATGATGGTGGGAGGAGGGAGGAGGGAGGAGGGGGAGGGGGAGGAGGAGAGGAGAGGAGAACGCGGGGACCGTTTCTTCAAAACGAGGACCCAACACCACAGGATGGTTGGGAATTAGGCCGTCGCTAATTGTCCCTCCCCTGACCTCCCTCCCCCCTACCCCTCCCCACCTTCGGGGAGACATAAGACTCGGGTTAGGGGGACTCGGGTTGGCCCGACGCGACCCAGTCCGCAATTTGACGCGGGCTCCCGCTGCAAACATCCCACGAAAACTGGACCGTCAAAACCCGGGACGCGCACGTCAAAAAACGTCCGCAAACCCAAGTTCCGGCTTACTCGAGTCTTTCGGCGGTGGACAAACCTCCCTTTAGTAAACCTACCCTTAGCGAAAACCCTGGCACCGAAACCGACGGACCTGGACCCGCGAAATGACGGCCGCGACGCCCTCTCGCGAACCGAAAACGGCCAATTCCTTAATCGACGTGTCGGGGTAGGAGGTCTGTCAGCCTCCGAGCCTTACGTTCCCACGACACCTCCCCTGGGCGCGTGGGCGCGTCCTGTAGCCGCCCCTCCAGGCGTGCGTCGGGCTCGCCGGCAGCGCCGCCGCGTAGAGGCTCCCGCCGACGAGACCCTCGGCCCTCCGGTGCGCGCGCGGCCCGGACCCCTCTGGCGCAGCAGGAGCAGGAGGAGGAGGAGGAGGAGGAGGAGGGAGGAGGAGGAGGAGGAGGAGGAGGAGGAGGAGGAGGAGGATAGGAGGAGGAGGAGGAGGAGGAGGAGGAGGGGCGGAGGGAGGGAGGAGGAGGGAGGAGGAGGAGGGAGGAGGAGGAGGAGGAGGAGGACGAGGAGGAGGAGGTCCTCGCCCCTGTCCCAGGCGGAGCAGCTTGCCGCCCTGGAGCAGTGTCTGATGTTCCTGGAGCTCGAAAATGGCTACTGGGGAAACCAAGGGTACGCCTCCAGCGGTTGTGTTCGGGAAGAGGAGGGGCCTGAGTGGGGGAAACGATCGCACAATTCCAAGATGATCCTCCGGAAAAAGGTTTGGCAGGTACATTGGAGTGCGTCCCTGAGTCGTGCCGCTCGGGCTCTGAATCTAGTATCAGAGGGTGAGGAGAAGGAGAAGAGGAGGAAGAAGATGCGGACATCCTCATGCTTTTCAATCTTCGCCCTTCTATTTCCCATCGTGCACGCACTGCATATATCACGTTAAGGTTGATCGAGCGCTGCGTTCCGATTCCTGTTCTTTTTTCCCAACCATCCTGTGGTGTTGGGTCCTCGTTTTGAAGAAACGGTCCCCGCGTTCTCCTCTCCTCTCCTCCTCTTCCCCCTCCTCCCTCCTCCCATCAGCATCTTCATCATCATCATCGTCATCATCATCATCATCATCATCATCATCATCATCATCATCATCATCATCAGCATCATCATCATCATCATCATCATCATCAT